TCCTCCTCCATTCTGCTCCTCCTCCTCCTACCTTTTTCACCTTCTCTCTCCTTCTTCCTCACCCCACCTCTACCCCTCGACCTCTACCCCTCTACCTCTACCCCTCTACCTCTACCCCTCTACCTCTACCCCTCTACCTCCGCCCCTCTACCTCTCCCCTTACCTTTATCACATCCCATGCTCACCATTTAGGGAGGAGCAGGGATTTCTCTTCCCCCTCCTCCTCCCTTCTTTACCAACTCCTCCTCATCCCTCCCCACCCCCTCCCCCTTCCTTTATAACATCCCATGCTCACCATTTAGCGAGCAGCAAAGACTTTCCCGATCCGGACGCCCCGGTCACCAGTAGAGGGGGCAGCGGTCCCGCGGCGCTGATGTGAGCGTTCAGACGATCGTAGTGCTGCCGAGAGACAACGCGACGATGAACCACAGCTGTTCACTTGTCTCGCACGCCGCGGCGAGCGCGATAACAGTGGCAAGTCGCCGATGTTTGCCGGCGCGAGTGACAACGTGATGCTCGGTATTTATATTCTTACATACTATTATATATTTACGTATTTTTTGTGTTTTTTACATACTGCATCGATACGACGCTCTTAAACCCTCGCTCGGATACGGATCGCCACAAATCCGATGTTTCGGTGTGCGAGTGCGAAAGACATATACAAGCAAGCGTAGCCATAGTGACAAGATGGCCAGCAATGAATGATATCTGAAGGTCAGTCATCTCGATCGCTCAGACAGATGGACAGATCGATTGCTAGATGCGTGCCTCAGACTATCAAACATGGCCGACGCGACGGCAGCGCACCTTTTCAAACCCGAGCGTGCAGAGACACCTGGTGGCCGCATTCAGCTTCTCCAGCTGCTCGCTGTTGCCATGGAGATCCCAGTGTGTGACGTCACACAGGGAGGCAGGGTCACAGCCATCGTCATCATTGTCATCCACTGATAGCTTACTGTCATCCATGCCTAGCTCCTGGACAGGTGACATCAATGTGACGCGTGTGACAGTGACAGGTGACAATTTTTCGTGTATAATACTTACTGAGTGTTTTACATGTACTTTTATATGTAATATTGACTATGTTACAAATATGTGTAATATTGACTATGTTACATATGACCAATTATTTCACACATAAGCGCATGAATAGAGCACCGTGTGCAATGTGTGGTGTGTGAATGACGGTTACCGTGGCGATGATGGTATCCAGCGCTTCATGAAGCCTGGTGAGTGAGTCAGCTCCATTCACCGCTCTGTTAACGATCTGCAACAAATAATTATAATTAATGAGAAAGGGTTTATCAAATTATTTAGGGGGAAGCCGTGAATTTCTCATGCATATAGACGATCACATTATTATCAGATTTCAAGATTAAGCCATTATATATAATTATGTTTATTTTTATTTTATATTATTATGTTGTTATATTAATTTGTATATAAAATTTATGCTATAAATTCATTACCTTGACGTTGTTACTTTCTTTGATCTGAGCTTTAAACTGATGAATCTCTGTATGACTAGACTTACACCTGAAATGAAACACTGATATTAGAAAGCATTGCATCCTTAAGTTTGTTCCTTCAGTTTTACCCTTCACAATGTTCATCGAAAATTTACAGGGACAAGATCTAGCATCTTAGAGTCTCTCAGTAGAACCCACAACTCCGCCACCACCAGTCACTGACAGTGCCTGCACATGGTCTATGCAACTTAGCATTGCTTGTCTGCAAACACACACACACACACACAGATCAACTGTGGTTTCTGGCACAGTTTGTTGGAACTTACACACACACATATATATATATATACATATATATATATATATATATATATATATATATATACTATATAGTATACACATGTGATTCAATCCCAGCAGGCCCGCCAAGCACCTGCCCCAGCTCTGTTTGTCTTTAATGGCGCCTTAATCAAAACCATAGAACCGTCACATCGACTCGTCATCTGCCGCTCGAGCACGCTCCCCAGGGCTGTCCCGCACTGCAACGAGGGATAACC